GTGGTAGAGTACACCCAAGACACTGGCTCTGTCACAAGTACCACAAAAGACACCTAAGAGCTTCTTCAGTCTAGTGTGATAGCCACAATCTTTTAATCCCAGTATGTAGTAGCCTGAAGCAGGAAGATGGAAAGATGGAGGCCAGCCTGAACTACACGACGAGTTCAAGGGCAGCCTCAGCTACAGAGAGAGCCCCTGTCTCAAAAAACAAAACTTCTCCAAAAGGAGGAGAAATAGTGGGCTAACCACAAGTTGCCAGCAAACAGCAGGAATCTGAGTGGCAGCCCTTTGTATCATATTTCTACAAGCTGTGCACACTGGCTCTGCTGGCTTTCTCTGCTTCCTGAAGGGGCATTTAGGACCACACAAAGTAGATGCTGTATCCAAATTGCTTGGACTCAGACCTTGGCCCACCGCATTGCCGTTGCATAGATCTGAGGTACAGAGGAGTGAGCCAAATACCATATTGTGTCAGACCACACTATGGTTCCCTTCTCCATGTGCTGGCATTTTATCCAGGACTCTGCTGTCTGCTGCCAGGAGTAAACCTGGCCTGTGTCTGTCACGTGAACGTGGGTGGGCAGGATGGCTATCTCTGTTAGATTTTGGTGTTAGGATTATATTGACTTTATAAAATTGGCTAAGGAGCAAAAAATCAACCCAATGTTTGCATAGTGCTCTGGAAGAATTTAAATAACATAGACATTACCCACCCATTCCTCCACTTCAAAAGAACTCATTCTAGAATTCTCTTTAGGTCTGGTATTCTTTTTAGAGTTAACAACTTCTGAAATCCTTCAGTGGGTAATTGGTCATTTTGTGTGCTTTGTACTCCTTGGTATTGATTTGGCAATTTAAAAGTATATTCCTAGGGGAGTATTGAGTGTTGAAATACTCTAACTTATAAGCATGTATGAATCCTAACTTTTTAAAATTGCATGTGTGTGTATGTGTGTGTGTGCGCGCGAGCGCGCCTACGCGCACTCCAGTTAGTGTCTCAGGTTGCGCAGCACCTCCCATTCTCTCTGGCCAGCTGGGGCCAGACCTCACCAGCCTGCCCATCGGCACCACCTGCATAACTCCATCTGGGGGTTGCAGGGAAGTGTGGGTGCTTCCTCACATGCACTGTGGCTGTGGGGTGCACCAGGATGTGGTCACGGAGAAGGCCGTTGGGAAGGAGAACCTATGGCTGCCAGGGACCAGGAGAGGCTCATGTGTGGACATACAAGGGACATTCTGTTCCCCTGTCCATGATGAGGAGAGATGTGTGGCAGGGACTGGAAAGGGAGCCCTTACTCTGGATGGGTGGGTGTTATCAGGAGGCATTGAGACACACCAACACTGTCCGGCCCAAGAAGCAGGTGTCCAGAGTGAGTTACATCTGTGGGATCTTGGCGAATGCTCTGGAAACAGAGCCCTCCAAAGCAAAGGGTGAGGAGTGGGGGCCCTGGGCCCCTCTTTCTTTAGGGTTAAACTTCAGAGACTCTGTTTGTACGGCCCTTCGTGTAACAGACAAGAAACGGACCTGCGTCTCCCATTCACACATCATCAGCCACCTTCTATTACAGATCTCACTGGGTCCCTCATGGGGATTCTAAAACGGGAAAGGAAATGCTTAGGTAAATTAGCCTAGGGTCTGTGGAAAGGGTGCTGCTCCCTTGGGTGGGGCCACAGCCTGGAACCATTGGCATCCTGGGGCATGAAGCAGGGGTAAGGTCAGGGTGTGGTCAGGACAGTTGGATACAGAGGCACCCTGGTCTGACTGACCTCATCACATTGGCTTTTGTAGCTTACCCACCTTGCTGGAGGCACCAAGACACCCTGGTCTCAGTTGGAAAGTCTTTCTGAAGGTTCCAGGCGCAGACCCTGGTTTGGAGTCTAATGACCCCATTACAGGCCTCTATTATGGTATCTTTGTTTGTTTGTTTTGATTTTGGAGACAGGGTTTCTCTGGAACTCACTCTGTAGAGCAGGCTGGCCTCAAACCAGAGATCTACCTGCCTCTGCCTCCCAAGTGCTGGGATTAAAGGCGTGCACCACCACCACCAACCAGCTCTATTATAGTAGCTGTTAAGCCAGGCAATGCAGGATACAGGTCCAGCAGTCTCTCTGGTCACTGTCCTGACCTGAGTCCAATAAGTGGTCTGCCTCTTCCCCACTGGGCTGGTCTTTGCTTTCAACTCTTCCCTTTTCTCATTCCTGCTATTTCCTCCTTTTCTCTTTTTTCTCTGTTCCCTCTTCTCTGCCAGACAAGGAATAGCACTGGGGCCCAAGAAGTCAGGCCCTCAGACACAGGTGGAGAGACGGATGTCCACCACAGAGTAATTAAGGCCTCTTCTCTGTTTTTCCTGAATTCCTTCCAGGTCTATGCCCATTGTACAAAATAATGGATCCTGCAGGCCAGACCAAGGGGAGGCTGCAGGGCCCAGTTTAGGCCAAACTGTTCCAATAAGCCTTGGGAGAGGTGGTGAGCACTCAGTACTAAGGCTGAATCCAGATGGACAGTGCAGGTGGCTGGGCAGGGGACCTTGAGACTCTCTGTAACCAGTGCCCAGGATCTACCCAGTCAGTGAAGCACAGACAGGCTGGAGTAGAGATGATATCTGTGTGCCCTCAGTGGTTGTGTCTGATGGAGGTCCTGGAGCCTCTTCTTCCCTCATGTTTGTTCATGAAGCAAAGGGGTGGGAAGGTCCTGGGTGGGGCTATCCATTGCTCCCAGACTCAGAGGGAAGATGGGAAAGCCCAGGCTCCAAGGAATGGGATTTAGACTGGCTCTTGAGAGGACATGTTAGAGATTGATAGGTGGGCCAAGTCCCTGAGCCTCATAGCCTGTTCCACAGGTCTGACCATAGCTCTGTTTGGATGAAACTTGGGGGAGTGGTCCAGGTCATCCACCTCTCACTAGGTGAGCCTTGGGGAAGGACCAGAGCTAGGTGACAGCAAGACAATGGCCATGGTGGCTACTCTTCCCCGAAGTTACATAGTCAGATAAACCTTAAGGGACCCCTTTCTCCTGCCCCCTCCAGTTCTATACCTCCCGATTACACACACTTGGCCAGCCACTTAGCGTCTCTTCCCCTCACTTGGCCACAGACCCTGCCACCCTGCACACAGGTAAATGTCCCACGAGCCATTTCTCTGAGGTGAGTGGAGCACACATCTGCTTCCACAGGGAGGAGCAGTCCTGACAGAGCCCTCAGACCAAGGCAGCTCTTCAGAAAGAACAGCGGCTGCCCAGAGTCCTGTGTGTCCTAGCTGTCTTGTTAGGTGGAGATTTCCTTCTCTTTTAGCCTCCACCCCACACTACTCATCTTAGAAGGTCCTGCCAACATGTGGGGACTGTGCACATGTCTGCTCCAACTTAAGGGCAGGCATGCAGTCATCCACCAAGATCTGGAGCCTGAGCTCCAGGTTTGGGGTTCATATGAACATAGAAACACTATGTCTGGAGTCTGCTTCTCCATGGTTTAAAATGTGCCTCCTGGGAAAAGCCACCCCCACCTCTACCCTTTTACCCAGTCCAGTTTCCTGGCCAATGCCTCCTTTAGCATCACTGAAAGTAGGCCTTAGAAAGTAGAACTTAGAAAACTGCACACACTTGCCATGTAGCCTGGCTGGGGTTCAGATATCTGGGTTCCAGTCCTGCTTGTCCATGTTCTCGCATAGACTCCCATCCTGATCTAGGAATTGAGGACCTTTGACTCTATCTTCTAGAGTCCTTCTGACCTTGCGTCCTGGCTTACCCAGGGGCACCTAGAGAGGACTGGCAAGGGCAGGCCTAAGGTAGCATCTTTGAGGCATATGTGATATAGTGAAAGTGATCCAAAGCCTAGGCTGCATCTGAGCTCCTGCTCAGCAGCCTCCTAGTCCAGCCTGGATGCAGAATGACTGGCCAGGCCACCCACCTCATGCCAGTCCTGCTGCCTGACCGCATGCCTATCCCAACCACCACTCCAGTGGGTTGGGTCCAGGAGCCTTATGCGACATCTTCCTACCAACTTACCAGAAGACCTCTTGGCTGCCTGGTACCCCAAGTCAAGATAGCAACAGAGCCCAAGGATGGGGTGTGATGGTCTTAAAGGAGCTGAGTCCAGACGGGCTGAAGGGCAAGTGCTGACACTAGCTCACCTGGTACCTCCCTGTAGCAATGACTGTTGGTTCTCCATGACAGTATCTTTGCCAGGCAGGAGAGCAGTTCCATTTCATTGATAATGGAATCTGAGGTGCAATATAGAATGCTTGGCCCAGACTCAAACAGCTAGAACTTGTGCCTTGAGCCAAGTATCCTTTCCTTTCCCGCTAGTGTTTCTCTAGGGTGGCAGAGGCAGGTGGTGGTGGGGAATTTTGGGGGCTGGTGGGAGAGGAGGAAAGGCGTTGACATTTTTTCCCCACTTCTTCCTGGTCCAGACTGGTGTCCAGGAGTTCTAGAATACCACATCCAGGGAAGGGCAGAGGGGCTCTCCCTCTTCTCACACTCTCTTTACTCCCTTCAGCCTCCAGGCCCATCTCACTACCTGCGCTGCCTGTCATCCCCTCTGCTGAGAATCCACACACGTGTCCTCTCCCTTTGGGCCCATTGAGGCTCCTCTGCCCCTCCCCGGGTACAGAGTATACCCTGTGATTGTATGGGTCAGGGCAGGGGCTGGGGTTGTCCTGAGGGTGTCCAGCACTGCGTTTAGCTGTAGTTAGCCCCCAGTGCCAGATTGTAGTGGTGAGGCTACAGACTGAGAAGGAATGAAGGACCAGTAAAGGGGTGGTTGACTCGGGTGGGGAGCTGGGAGCTGGAGCCATTTCTGCTCTCACTCAGTGAGATGGGGTCATCTACTCAGGAAGCCATCTTGGCATTGGGCCAAACCCCACAGCATCCTGGAGGATTGCTGGAGTCCTGGCAGACTGACAGCCACCCTTTCCACATTCTCCTACACAAAGTCTGAAACCCTAAAACATCTCTCGGGCCTGACCCAGCTGTGGTCCACCTAGCCACTAAGTCAAAACAGAACTCCAGACTAGAAAACCCTTGTTTTATTCAGCACCCGGGCAATCTTGCTGTGTGGAATGGCCAAAATATAAAAATTAACAACCAACAACAGACGAAAGGATGTCGTAGAGGAGAGTTAGGTACAAAATGGGGCCTGGCATCCAGAATCCCTGTGGTTTTGGTCCACGTTCACTCCCTGAGGCCGGCAGGGAGGGATGCCCCAGCCACCAGCTGCCCTTGCCCTTGGGCTAGGGGGCTGGGCTTTTTGGGAGAGGCTGCCTGGGAGCAGGGCCTGCTTTTTAAGGAGAGACAAGAAGGGTCTGTCCACTCAGAGGTCAGGACCTAAGGAAAGAAAGGGTTGGTCAATGGCATGACATCTGCAAGGTGGCCCACTTCCCTGACAGGTTCACTTTTCTAAATGAGGTTCCCTGTGCTGGGGCAGGCAGAGGTTTCCATCTTCCCCAGGAGTGTGGGCTCAGGGCAAAAGGTCCTTCAGGGCCCAGCAACTCTTAGGGCATAGTCTCAGCATGCCTCTGGCCAGCTGTCCCAGATTCTAGGTGCTATTGTCAGGAAATGCTTCTCTGGATGTTATTTTCTAATTCTGACCCCGACTCCCTTTTCCCTTAAAAAGGAGAAAAAAATTCTCCTTTTCCCTCTTCAGAAACACAATGGAAACCCATGTGTGTCGGTCCCGTGGCCTTTCTGGGAACACTCTGTGCAGCTTCCTGCGTATGCTGGCCTAGCGGCCTGCCTGTGGTCAGGGTCACAGGGACACTCTAATAAGACCTGGGGCTTTCCAAGCACTTATGTAAAGAGGTCTTGGAAGCAAGGGCCTTGGCCTCCACAGCCACAGGCTTAGGGGAGCACAGGGGTGGCCCAGATGCTTCTGTCTACCCTCTGAGTGCTCTGACGGTGCTTCTGGGGTCCCTGTGGCACAAGACATATCCTCACAGGCCTTGAAGAGCAAGAAGGCATTGGGAACTCAGGCCCATGAAAGGCAAACAGCCTTACAGAACAGGTCCTGGTCATTTCAACCACTCGAGGTGTCCTGGGTGATGGTAGTCTGATTCTACTCTGAGTAACCTGATCTCTGGACTGAAGCAGAGATGGCAGGACCCATTCTTTCAGATGTGAGCATATGAGTGGGAGTGATAGTTAGCTTCGTGGATAAAGGAGCTGTCTCTAGATATGCTCTGGCCCTGGTCATACACTGAGCCCTGATCCTAGTCACACACTGAGCCCTGCCTGGTCCTGGTCACACACTTAAGCCCTGATCCTGGCCACACGCTGAGCCCTGACCCCCACAGGCTTAACCTCTCATACTTGCCATCCTTTGACAAGCACACACTTTGGGGTTAAAATGCCTCTTTGAGACTTGGAGTTTCTACAGTCTGACCTCAACTGATAAACTCAGCCTAAAGCATGCTTAGGACAGGCTTAGGAGAAAAATATCGATTGCTTTGATCCAAGCAAGCATTTTAAAGTCATAGGGGTAGAAAAGAGTTGTAAGTTTGTAGGCAGAGGGCCTCTCCGCAAAGTACTTCCTGGAAGGAGGGATTTAGGAGCCTGAGTTTTGGTGGCCTGGGACAGCAGGTGCTAAGGACCCTGCTTAGCAACCACATACTAAAAGCCCAGAACCAGAATCTATTAACTTTCTGTATGATGGAGATACAGGGACAGAGGTTGGCTCATTTCAACTACTCCTAATCTGAGGCTTTTAACCCAGTCTACTTGATAATGACATAAAGAAATGGAAAATGAGTATGCCTACTGATCTGAGTTCCTTCATGTGCTGGGGACATGGACATGCTGCCATCAGGCCTGAAGTCCTCATCACCAGCTTATGTGGGAAGTGTGTGAGGAAGGTAGCTCTGAGAGCAAAGATGTTATCAGCACGGATCTGCAGACTAGGATTGCAGAGCCCATGCCCTTGTCCAGACCATTCTACCTTCTGCCAGTTTCTGTGTGAAAACCCTAGGGCCACAGGATTGAACCCCATGTCAGTACCCCATAGCCTTAGCCCCATCATGAGCACTTAGCTCTCTACAAAGGGTCTTCCTTCTAGACATATCCATAGCTGTGTGCGGCCATCAATGGCCCAAAGCACAGGAGTTGTAGTATTTCAGGGAGTCCACCGCTTCCCAGGCAGGAATGTGGTTGGGGTAGGAGTCAAGCGGTGGGAAACACGTACTGGACAATTTTGCAGTTTGTTGTAGAAACGTAGCGACCTGTGTAGTGGATGTTGCATCTCACTACGTTGTTGGTGAAGTCAGACTCCAAAACAATGTACTTGGGGTTCACATGAACCTGGAGAAAAGAAATGGAAAAAGGGGGCCTGTCAGGAAGATACACCCCACCTGGTCACCAAAGAAGGTAGTAGAGAGGCAGGCAGACACAGAGGTGACACAGAGAGGCAGGGTGATGGAGACAGATGTCTTGGACAAGGAGACAAAGGTGGGAAAGAAGGGACAGTGGAAGTTCAAGAAAATATCAACTGTGTTCTCAGCCAGGGATCAGAAACTTCCCCAGAGCCAGAGCCCATTCCAGGAGGGACCAGCAGAAGGCACTGTTGCTAGTTTCTGCCCCAGGGTGAGGGCTGGAACAGGGGTCAACACCTGGTCTACTTGACTCCAGCACTCACATCCCTATCCAGGTGACCTATGGGGGGCCCGGAGGATGCCAGGGTATATAACGTGCCCTGAAGCCAACATTTGTTGAGAAGATGGTCCGAGCATGCCCTGTGCTCCTTGTCTGAAAGAGCTACAGAGGCAAATCATGACAGGTTGGATTAGCAGGGGTAGGGACCAGTCTCTGCAGGACATTTGAGAAGGATGCAGTTGAGCTGGGGGTGCAACTCTATGATAGAGCACCTGCCTAACACGGATGGGCTCCCTCTACAGTCTCTCTCTCTCACACACAATTAATTGATTGATTAATTAATTAAAAAAGGAGCAGGGCTAGAGAGATGACTCAGCTCTTAAGAAAGTTACTGCTTTTCCAGAAGACCCAGGTTTGGCTCCCAGCACCCACATGGCAGTTCACAACCTTTTGTACTCCAGTCCCAGGGATCCAAGGGCCATGTTCTGGTCTCTGGAGGTACTGTCCACACGTGGTGCACAGGTATACATACAGGCAAAACACCGTATAGAAAAAAAAAAGAAATTTAAAAATTTTTAAAAATTAAAAAGAACAGATGTTACTTGAACTCTGAGTGTACCCTTCACGGCTTGAACTAGACACTGTTTGTGTGGTCAATTTGTCCACTGCCTGGAACTCATCAGGCAGGACTCTCACTCACATGCACCCGGTGGAGCAGGGCTCAGGTGGAGCAGCAATGAGTTGCTTCTGTTTTGTGTTTTGAGGGTCACCTCTCTACTGGGAAGAGCCACCACCCATGGCTTTCCCCACACTGAACTTTGGTATGGAGCAGATCTAAGAAAGCTGACAGTCATCCCCATCTTTCTCATCCCCCGCCCCTCCATGTGCTTGCATGAGGAGCTAAGATTTAACTTCCTGGGGTCAGGTCATGAGGACATGGCTTTACACAGAGTGTATGAGTGTGTCAACCTGGGCTGTGTGTCAATGACACACTTTTCTACTTGTCCCAGCACCAAAGGAAATGATTGATGGGGTAAGCTCATACCACTCCATGTAGCAAGAGGGGTTCCTGCTGGAAGGAATCTTGGTCACAGATGCCCTGGGGTTTGGCATATATCCTGCAAGGAACTGAGAGCTTGCCAGTTCTGGGTCTTTGTCACTTAGATGACATCATCAGATATCATCACCTCTCCTGTAGCTATGATGGGGCTGAAGATTCCTTGGAGTACTTTCTTTGCTTGTTTATTTGTTTGTTTTCCGAGAAAGGTTTTCTCTGTGTAGCCTTGGCTATCCCGGAACTCACTTTGTAGACCAGGCTGGCCTCCAACTCAGAGATCTGCCTGTCTCTGCCTCCTGAGTGCTTAGATTAAAGGTGTGCACTACCACCACCTGGCCCCTTGGGGTCTTTAATGGAAGAGAAGCCTGTCTGCTTGAGACACACATCATCAGAGAGGAACATAATCTCAGATAACATTGCAGATGGCAGCCTAGATGAGCAACTAGGGAAGTGGGGACACAGTTAGAGAAGGGAGCATCTTTTAGAAGCGAGAGATGATGGGCATGGTCATCAAGTTGGAGAGAATGTTCCAGACTGTGAGGCCCACCTTGAGGATGTAGTTCCCAGGCTGCACATCAGTTATGTCAATCCATTGGCAGTCAATGTCTGCGTTGTAGGTGTCATAGCAGCCTGGACTCAGGCCCTGGAAAGAGTGATGAAAGGAGAGGTGGTTATCTCAGAGACACCCCATGTCCATCCAAGGCAGTCTGGGGGCTTCTGCCTCTGTGCTTCCCTCCTGGCCTGGGCTCACAGTGGTTAGGGCCCTTGCTGAGCCACTGGATGGATGAGCCAAGCAGAAGATGGAGATGCCATAGACAGAGGGGCCATGAAGTGAAGGGTCAGATGCTTGAAGATGCTTGACAAAGATGGCTGAAGGTAGAGATGAAAAGATAGATGGAAATATGGATATTTTGTAGATGAACCCCTGGAAAGATGGTTTTAGATAGACCTTTGACCCTCTTTAGGTAAATGAGACATGATGTTATCTGGGATGAGGAAGGGAGAGACTTGTGGATGGTCTCAGGACTGGCAAGAAGATCCTCAACCAGAACTAAGTGGGCACAGCCTTGGCACTTGCCCATTCTTCGCTTGGCTGGCCCACTCCCCATCCCTATACTCCTTTATCCACCCTGCCACACTAGCCCAACCTGTGTGTGAGAGGTGCATGCATAGCGCTTGAGGTTGCCAAAGTCACAGGTGCTGTCCTCCAGGCAGAAGCTGGCCTTGTGTCCCTCAGCCACTTTCTTGCCTGTGGCTGCATCAAGCAGGTCATAGTGGCTGAACTCATCCATGCTGTGGTAATGTCTGTGGGAGGAGAGAGAAGAAGACCTAGTTTCCCTGGGGCTTTCTTTCCTCCACATCCCCTACTGAGATTAGCTAGATGACTGCCTATGGTGGCTTCCTAACCACTGAGCCCTCTGCTCTGAGTCCCACAGGGTAGTATTTCTGGTACTAGGTCACCTCAGAACTCCACCTCCTCAGGCTCCTTACTTCGTTTCTGGACTCCTTCCTGTTCTGATCTCCCATGAGCAAAATCCTGCATTCTAGACATTTCCATCCCTTACCAAGGCTGACCACTCTTTTCGACTCAGTTTTGTTGAGGGTCCTTGGCCAGCAATACTTTCCTAGGGCAGGAATAAGCACCCACATACCCCAGAGTACTAATGGGGAGGACTCAGGCATTGAGGGCCCTGGACCAGGAGAGGAAGTAGCAAAGGCCACTCAGTCTCACTTACTGGTGGCAGCTGTGCCACTCCCAGGTGTGGCGTGGCCGGTTGGGGAGAAAGTCCGCTGTGCCCTGGTTTTTCACCCGCTGGGGGAAGCGAAGCAACACTCGGAGGTCGTAGTCGGTGGCCTCAGGGGCATATGCTGTGCTGTGAGGACAGGCAGGGAGACTGGAATGGCACTGTGACACCAGAAGTCAGTGTATGCTAACTACAACAGGCTGTGTGTCCAGCCCTTAGCCACTGTCCTCTCAATCCCCTCCTGCCCTAAAGATACTGACATTTGACCCTGCATGACAGTGAGGTCTGGCCTCTTCTCCTGTGACACCACCTGGCTCCATTTCCTCTCTGGCCCTCTGTGTGTGACTGGCAGCTGTTAACAGACTCAGATCACAAGCTTCCAGGCAACTCAGCTAGGGACAGCACCCACCACCACCCTGGGAGGGGTTGGGATCACATAAAAATCTTTGGAGGATAATTTAAAAATAAACAGTTCTGGCTCATGAAGACAGCCCAGCTGCTAGAGTGCTTGCCTTGAAAGCATTGAGAACTGAGTTCAATCCTTAAAAAACCCCAGTAATAAACCCAACCGTGGAGTTGTGTGCTTCTAATGCCAGCACTGGGGAGGTGGAGACAAGAGGATCCCTGGAGCTTGCCAACAACCTGGAAAATGGCACGCAAGGTTAGCCTCTGGCTTTCACTTGCACATGAATACACATCACCTGTACACATATTACAATAAATAAATAAAAATAGAGCCTGACAGCCACACCCAGGAGTGTCTAAACGCTTCCTTCTTCTGGACAGAGCTAACTGGTCTTTTGTGTGTGACTGAAAGCCAGTCCTGAGCATCTTGGGCTAAATCTTCATGTTCCTGGTCCCATGTGCCCTTCTGCTCCACTACAGATTGAGTGCCAGCTCAAGGACTGTCTCTCTTTCCCCTTCTTCCCATGCCATTTGTATGGCCATAGCTCTAGAACTCATTTAGCTTCCTAGTTCCAATTCACATCCCTTCCTCCAGGAAGTCTGCCATGACTGTTGTACTTAGAAGCATCCTGGTTTGACCGTGAGCTCTGCAATACTACCTATGGTTCACCCTGATGTCAATTCACCCTGGGTTGGTGCAAGTGTGATCAGACCATCTCTCCTTAATGACCTGGCTTCAGGACCAGCAATGTGCTCTTTCCCTTCTGGAAGCCTGCTCTCCATTCATGTGTGATTTTAAATTCCCATGAGAAGCAGGGAAGAAAGAGAAAAGAGAGATTTCTTTCGTGAGAGGACACACACACACACACACACACACACAGACCAGGAAGCCTGGCTGCTGGCTCCCCTCTTTGCAGCTGACTGCTGACAGCTGTCCTGGCTGGCCTCATTTGGGGCCCGGTTATAAGGCCATAGGTGAGAGGTGGCCCGTTGTGGGGATTAGCTCTCTCTGAGAATATGTCTGGACAGCAGGCAGCTCAGACTCCTGTCTGCCAGGACATAAGGCCCTTGGCCCTGTCTGGAGGAGACTTGGAATCTGTCTGTGTCTGGGTTGAAACAAAACATCCTCCTTGCCTTGGTGAAATCCTGCCCTGCTGTTCGGCTCAGAACATCGTGGGAAACCAGCAGGATCTAGCGTCTAGGCCCAGTTTGGCCACAGGCTCGTGGCGAGACTTGAAGCAAATCCCCTCCCTTCTCTGGGTTCAGCCTGCAGTGTGGGACCTGGCGCAGGGCTCCAGTCCACACTTGAACTGACTTGGAGAATCCTCCCACTGCAGGGCCCCAGCTCTGTAATTCTCTACCCAGCCTTCCTGGAGCCACATTCCTGCAGGCCCCTCCCTCTTTGACCTTACTCAGCCTCAGTTCTAACCCCAGCCCCAGAGCTGTGCATCCTGGCTCTCACTCTACTCCTGAGGCCTGCTTAGCTTTGTCATCAGAGCCTGGAGTGAGGGGGGTCACTCACTTCAGCTAGTTGGAGAAGTCACCCAGGACAGAGGGCAGGCTCCATTCTCCTCATCCAATTTGGAACTCAGGGCTGGGCACTTGAGATGTCCAAGAAGATGTATTGAGAATTTGGCTTTAACTAAAACAATTCAGACTCTAGCAGGCCTCCACAGAGACCGAGCCCTTACCACTGGAGACATGTCAGCAGAAATGCTGTGGTCTCTTCCCAAGGACTAGGGACACAGACAAGGCCTGATGGTCAGGTCAACCAAGTGGCTGCATGGATGGTCCCCATCTGTGATAATATAAGGGACTTTCACCAGAGTGTCAATCAATTGCTCCGCCCATCACCATGACTAGTATCATTTTAAAGACAGATGTCTTTATCCAAGAAGCAGTAAATTGAGTGATATGCTGATGAAAGTTCTTTATCTTACCACAGACAGATGAGAGAGAGAGTTTGTGGTCAGCTAATCTGAGGGGGCCACGGGGCTAGGTCTAAAATGAATAAATGTTGACATTCCAAAGGGTTTCCTAGAAAGTAAAAGGTAAGAGAGTTCACATGTAAAAATAAATAAATAACAAATATTTTTTAACTGGGCAATTAAGGGGGAAACTATGCTTTTGGCATCCATGTCCAGAAGAGCAGCAGAATAATGTCCCCTTTAACCAGGTCTTTTCACACAGAGAGAGACCCCCAAAGAACAGAAGCTGAGCAGAATGTGAACTGCTGATAAACCATACATGAGCTCTTCGGGAGCAGAGTGGGTGCCCTCCCTGTGTAAGCTCAGGGCAATGGTCTCCTTCTCTCTCTGGAACAGTACATACCAAGGTCTCATTGTCCCCCAAGCCTAACCATTCCCTTCTAGGATCAGACGGGCAACCTGCGTCAGACAAAGCCACACCTATCCTCACCCTGCAGCTCTCTGCCCTCCATCCAGAACTTCCTTGACATCCACACTGACCACTAGAAATACAGAATGGGCCAATTTCAGTTCCTTTCCTTGTGCCTTAGTTTCCTAATGGGGCAGCCCATTCTGTCAGGGCTGGTGTTAAGATTAATGTCACAGTGTAATCAAGGTCCTTGTGGGTAATGCATGTAGGGTAAGAGGAACCCACTCCTTCCCTTTTCCTCACTCCCAGACCCAGGAAAGATGGAGATCGGGGCTCTGAGAGGCTCAGATACTTTGCCAGGCTCTGGGTGGCTCCCACACACGATTGCAAGCTCCTATGCTTCGTTCACCCCCAGCTCTCCTTACCTGGCCAGGCACTTCTCCTCCGCCGCACAGCGTAAGGAGTACAGATGGGCTCTTTGCACATATGTGGATGCCTGCACATAGTTGGGGTCCGGGACCAAATCAGGGAGGCCTGGAGAGAGCAGAAGAGGAAAAGCACAGTAAGTACCAAGAGGGTCAGAATGTCTACTGCTGGCTTCAAGCACCTCCTCCACCAAAATGTGGCCATTCTCCCTGGTCAGTGGGTCCTAGGTTGAAGGACCTCAGCAGCAGCTAACTGCCTCTATAGCTTGATGGTGTGGGAGTATGGAGACATCCTAGAATATCTGGAATGTGAACAAGACCCAGGAACTGGAAGGAAAAGGTGTCTTGTAGGTGGGATGGCATGCCATGAGTAAAGGCTTAGGCAGGACCAAGGAGACTAAGGAATTCCTGGCAGAGCTGTTCCCTCTGTCCTTGCTCCTCAGACCTTTGAGTACTTGCCAAGACACTTCTCTCACCTCTGTAGCCAGCCCTCTTCAAGGACCACCAGGACAGCCTGGGCTTATAGCCCAGGGTAGGCTCCAGAAGGTTCATGGGCAGAGCTAGGTGGGTGTTAATTGGTAGGAGGGGGTGGGCAGGAAGCAAACATGTTCCCTGAGCCAGCAGAGTCAGCCTGGTGCCAGCTAAGCTGCTCAGGATATGCTCTTCTGGCACCTGCTGCCACTTCTGGCTGTCAGAATCTAAACCAACCCACAACCATTCCCTGTGGGCAGCCTCTGATGCCCAACTGCAGGGAGGGCATGGCCCCCTCCCTTGTAGGGCCCAGGGAAAGTCTAAAGACTGCTCCAACCTTTCTTTGTGACCACTTGTTCTCTAGGCTACACCAGTGTAGTCCACAAGCTCGAGTAAGTTACCAGGAATAAGCAGAAACCACAGGTAGGTATCAGACCCATCCCATAAAAGGATAAGGACAGTGATCTTGATGTTGGGAGTGAGGGCACAGGGGAGGGGGGACTGATGGTGGGGGTTGATCATTGATCTACAGCAAGCTTACAGTGGGATGCCTGGGGCTCCTAAATTCTCTCTTCTTTAAGGCCCTTGGGAGTCTGTTCTCCAGTAAATGATAAAAAAGAGACTGTAAGCTCTTTCTAGCATCTTAGCCCTCTGCTCTTGGGGAGTAAAGGCCTTGACAGGGTAAAGGCAGGCAAAGTAGGGTTCTTGAGTTGTGGGATGAGGCTTCTAGGCCCCCTGTTTATCATTACCTCCCATTTTAAAGGTCCTAACAATGAGGCAGACAAAGGGAAGTCTGGTTTCACAGCCTTTGACAGAGGTGTGTGCCTGCACACACACACACACACACACACACACACACACACACACACACACGCATTCGAGCACACTTGAGTGGGAGCATGAGCACAAGAGCATGCTCACACTCACACATTCACATATACTAAAAGATAACATAAATTAAATTACACACACACACACGTACGCATGCATGCACATACTGACACTTACGTCCCTTGGGTCCCTTCCCTGGACCTGTTCTCCCTGGAGCCTGAGCCTCAGGGCAGCCTGATCTGGGCAGCCAGGGTGACCTCACCTACTTGGAATGGAGAAGCTTAGAGTACAGGGTGGGTGACGATGAGGTGGCTCCTGGCAAAGCGGGCGACTTCTTGGCCAGCCTAGGCTGTATGACATGAGCCCCCTGGAATGTTTGCAGTCATTTCCCAAGGGACCCTCAGGACTGCAAACCAGCTGGGAGATGGTTCTCACCCACTGGTTCCCAGAAGCTTCTAGAAGAGGGGTAAGGAAGAGAGGAGGGGTCCCATTTCCTCACCCTCTAGCAACTCAGCAATAGGTGGGCGTGGCAGCTGGGTTTAAGCCTCATGGGCCCAGCATTCAGCACCAGACAGTCTGCCGCTCCCATCCCAGGCCCTGTTTCAACAAATACTACACAGATGGCTCCACAGAGCTTTCCTGGCCCCGACCCTTCCTCTCTAGGCTGTTTCATGAGCTGGCTGTGCAATCCTGAACAGTCAGAAGAGCCAGAGTTGGAGGCTAGGGACACTTGGGGCCAGTTATATTGCTCTTGTTCTCTGATTGAGCTTGACCCTGGCCACAGACAGAGCCCAGTGACCACACAGGAAGCCCTGAGCCAGGTTATACAGTGAGTATGGATTCTGGCCACACACTGAGCCCTGATCCTTTGGCTTGACCATGGTCCCTCACTGAGCTTTAACTCTCATCGCACATTGAGTCCAGATCCTGGTCACACATAGAACCCAGAACCTGATCACATACTGAGCCTTTGCCCTGGTTACACATAGAATCCTGATTCTGGTCACATACTGAACTTACACTTATCACACTCAGATCCCTGATCCTGTACACACTGAAATGGGTTCTATCAACATCTCTGAATCTTAGTGTTGGTGTCCTCAGTTTCTTTCTCTAGATAGTAAACTAAAGCAATGCACTAAGAGAAAAGACCCTGCAAAAGGAATTGTTTTAACATCAGCTATCCTTTCTGATTCTAATAGAGCTTTGGTGTAGGTCCAGGAACTTCTGGGAGGAGTTATCAGTAGAGTATACTAGATAGATTAGGGACAGGCTGCTGGTCAGTCTCAACATTGATCTCTGGCTCTGGCCTCAGGAAGCCTTCCCTGATTAAAGTGACATCCTGTGACACCATATGACGCGGCGTGATGCACATACTAGGATTTTTCTGCAGCTGGATTTCCTTATATTCCTCTGTAGGTTCCTTCTGTTCAGATGGGGTCTTAAGGCCAGGGTCTACCTCCTCATTGCTAGCAAACCACATCCTCTGCTTCTTTATTGGTTAGTGGCTTAATACACAACTGTCCACATCCATGAGTGTGTGCCTCTCTCCTTAAGACTCCAGAGTATACCATACCTTTGGAAGCCCATCTAGAGAGAGCAATGGATGTGCTTATATCCACACAATGAGTCAGGGCAGTCTCAGGAAAGCCTATGTCTCAGTTCCCTCACGTCATTCTTCTTTTTATAAAAATAAACTGCTGATTGCTCAGCAGTTTAGAGCACTTGTTCTTGTAGAGGGCCTGGGTTCCAATCCCAGCACCCAAATGGCAGCTCATGACCATCTGTAACTCCAGTTCCAGGGGATCTGACACCACCTTTTTCTGGCTGCAGTGGGCACTGCACACACATGGTACACATACAAGTAGGCAAAACACTCATACAAATCAAATAAATATATACAAATAATAGACTTCTTTTTGAAGTATGATCTACACACAAAGGCACAGATTTTTAGTGCAGTTTGGCAAGGTTCTGACAAATGTATGCTGCCATTAACTACCACCTCAATAGAGCTAGGAAAATGTCCCCAACCCTGGCACACACCTATAGGATTTTTAAATCACTGTAGATTGGTTTTGCCTTTTTTTAGTAGTTACACAAAATTTCTCCTGTCATGATTTGAGCATTGTCTTTGATTTTGACCACTACCAGAGTCCCTATGACTCACCTAGCCCCTCCCACCTTAGCTGTGCCCCGCCCATATCATGCCCTTGCTGTCCTGGAAGTTTAGTTCTGGTCTCCCATCTCACCCTCAGGATCCCCTGCTGAGGTCCCAGGGAGTACAGGCCTTTCCCTTAGCTGGTATGTTTTTCCAGAATGGAACAAAGCTTCCTTCTCCAGACTGTGATTCCCCGGGGACACTCTGACAGCAGCCAGGCTTAGGCTCTCATTCCCTTTTTGGGACTTGGGTATGGGGGAAGGTTGGATGATGATTAAAAGGAGATAAAGCAAGCCTTACATGGAGGTTAGTAGGTACAGGGATAGGGGAGTCTAGTCTGCTGTTATTAGCTTGTAGGGCACAGGCAAGGTAGACAATGTGGAATAATTAGTATGGTCATCCCCTTTCCAAGATAGGCCAAATTTAGGGGTCCCATCAGTTATGGGGTAAATTCTGAGCTAAGGTGGGAGTGGGATGTATTTTCCAACAAACTTAGAGTCTGTCACCCAACCCTCAGGTCTGGACCTGGAGACTCAACACATGGTTTCTGATACTTTTCTGTGAGACTATCATGTTTTTCTAACTATGGAGAATCGGATAAATTTCATGTCTCATTAGTTCAGGAAAACAAAACAAAACAAAACAAAACTGGTCCATGGTCTGTGTACTGTGTTCTCTCATCTTCCCTTAGGCTTCACTTCCATTCCAGTTAGGTATGTCCCAGAGCACTTGTAGATTTTTATGGCCTGTATAGCTCATGTCAGATGGGGCTGTGCTGAAAACACAAATGAGATCTGGGCATGGCAACTCATGTGTTTCATCCCAGCACTTGGGAGGCAGAGGCAGATGGATTTCTGACTTTGAGGCCAACCTGGTCTATAAACTGAGTTCCAGGACAGCCAGGGCTACACAGAGAAATCCTGTTTCTAAAAACAAAGAAGAAGAAGAAAAAGGACCCAGGTTCAGTTCCCAGCATCTACATGGCAGCTCAAAACCATGTGTAAGTCCAGTGCCAGGGAATTTGATACTTTTCTTATATCTTCAGGAATCAGGCAAGGATGTGGTGCACATACATACACATTGACAAAACATTCATATACATAAAACATACATGGTAGTTTTACAGGATCTGTACTGTGTTGTGATTTTTTTTTTCAGTCACTGTAAACCTTCAGGAACTTTTGCACAGCTTGACACTGTGAAAAAGGAGTCTGCCTCCCCAGGATCTCATCTGACTGGTCTCCTGGAAGGGAGTGGCCTTGAGCTCTGTTCCACAAACATGGCACAATGGATGGCTTGACATGCTCTTACGGGCTTGCTGAGCACATACGACCAGTTCCCTTTTGAACCCACAGGGGACTTTCAGTCATGTTCAGCTTCTCCCTAGTCTCAGTGTCAGAGGTGGGAGTGGATTACAGCCCAAAGGCAGTGTGGACAGCCTTCCTCTGCTGCCCCCTCTGAGAGGGCTGGGTCCTATCAGTGCTGGCTGAGCTTGTATGTGGCCCTCTCCAGGTCTCTCTGTCTCCATGCATCCCTGTGCCAGGCCTCTGTATTCATTCCTCCCTAGGAAGGGTTGTGCTGTCACAGCCTGAGCCAGGATACTGGAACACTGAATCAGAGGACAGTAAAGACCCTTCGGATGTTCA